CCCCTCTCATCATCCTTTTCAGATCTTGTCACCATCCAGGTTCTGGTTTGTAGGGTAGATAGATGTCCTTGAGTGGCATTTATAGATCCCGGATGCACAGTCACCATGGGCTGGATTGTGCTATAGCCACAAGGAACCTAGACCTCAGTGATTGACCAAGAATCAAGGCTGAATTCTTGATTACTTTACTAGCCCCAAGTGGGAGGAGTCAAGAGCTGTGCCATCCCGGTGACACAAAGATGGGATGAGGGAGGTCTCATTTCCCTCCATTCCTGCCTGACATCTCAATGCAGGCAGTTTCACCAATCACTCCTCAAGTGACAATGTGACACTGACAGTGTAATAATATCAATAGTGACACTTAGAGGACATCCACTGCTTATAGAGGCTGCCTGTGGGGTCTCTTGATCCTGGCCAGCGCCAGCCATTGGAGACAAAGTAAATAAAAAAAAATGGATACATTTGAGTTTCATTTGTGATTGAACAGATGTTAGAATGACTAACGTATGTCTGTGAGAAGTAGAGCTTTGGCTGTGCTAGTGACATGCGCCATCTCTCCACTGCACCAGCTGTGGGCTGGGCTTCATGGCAGCACTGAAGAACAGATACCAATATATTTACAAATGTGAACCCAGAGACACAGAAGTCAAGAACCCTGAGCCTTCTCTTCCACACTGCCCGCCTCCTAATGTTGTAGCGTGTGTCTCCTGACCCAGCTGTTTCTGCGTCCTTGCTGGGGAGGGAGCTTGCCTTGGAGAGAGGACCTTTCCCGGAGTCCTGTAGTGACTTCCTAGATGTGGCTTGTATGAATAGGAGCTGCTGGCATGGAGTTGTTTACTTGTGTTCCTGGTAAACGTGTCCAGGGCTGCAATAACCACGCTCTGCCTGCAGGGTGCACTGGAGTGCTGCTGGTGGTCAGATGCCATTGCTTGTGTCTCGGGCCTCTCAGAGGAGTGTGAGACACATGCAGACCCCACGGCAAGTTCTGTACTGACTGATACCCATGGACAGAGGGCAGTACTCCTCCAGGGTGACCTGAGCCTCCATCTTCTGACCCCAGGACAGAACACATGTCTGTGCTTATTGTTGAGCAAATGTCAGTCACTGGTTTTGAAGATTAATAATGAAGTTAATGGGTTTGGCCTGAACTCCTACAAGAGGCTCCGGGAAAGCAGAGCAGACCAAAATGGCATCACTTACCATAACTACAAACGATCAGGGTAAAACAGAAGGTAGTTGGACCAGTGTGCACTTGGTCATTCTGATGCTGGGTGGATGGGCGGGGTGGATAGTGGGGAGCTTGACCCGGGACTAGAAGACCCACATTCTGGGTTATACATGGCAGCTCAGTTACCCTGTTTCACTGTGGGTCAGAAAACACCTTACAGTGCTGCTTGACAGGGGGTAGGAGCCACACCGTTTTCCCAGAGGTTGGCATTGCAGGCAGAAGTCCTGGCACAGTTCCCAGGATGGGGAGGGACTAGATCTATGTGCAGCCAGGGTGGACTAAGGGGCAGCAGTTTGGAGGACCTGGTGCCTTCCGGGAAACTGGTTTTGCTACTTACTAGTTACATGACTTAGGAGGAGGGAAGCAGCCTCCCACAGGCTCTGCAGATTGTGTGTGAAAGACCCTCGAGGTGAGGAGTCTCCACGATTCGGCCGGTCCCCCAAGAACTCAATGTCCAGTCCAGTTGATGCAACACGCAAGAGACTTTATTACAAGTTGTTAACCCCATGTTAGCTCCGGCCACTCATCCATCCACCATGGCGGATGGCTAGAAAAGCCACTTCATAGAGATCTTATAGGGCAGCGTAAGGGGAGTGTCTAGGGGGTACGCACAGGCTCAGGATTGGTGTGCCTCCAGGCTTGAAGGGTTTGCCGTGTGTTGATTGGTCAACTGTTGTTATGGCCCATAGGCCCTCCCAGGGTAGTTGCTATGCTCTTGTTGCTGTGCTCTTGTTGCTGTGCACTTGTCCATAAAGCACACCCAGAGCCGTAAAGCATAGCACCACCAGCTAACTTCTGATTGGTTCCTTGCCACGAGGCAGGCATCTGACCTCCCAGTGACTAAGACAAGGTCAGACAAGTACATGTTCGGCTGTTATGGCTGCTGAAATGGGGAGCTGGTCCCTTCAGGTGAATGAGAGCACAGCCCTGGTCCCTTCAGGTGAATGAGAGCACAGCCCATCTGCACCCAAGATTGTGGTGTGGTCATAGGATTACAGGAGAAAAAGCTGGGGTGTCAATCATGTTGTTTGATTTGCAGGGGCTCAGAAACGCAAGCCACAGAGCTGACACCCCAACTTGCTCTCGTGGTTTTAGGAAAGCAATTCCTGAACCAAACCTCTTCCCAGTTCAAATTCAGGTTGTCGGTAATGAGGAGCAGGGTTCAGAGAAGTCTGCCAACTTTACTCAGGTCACACAGCAAGTATTTTCAGAATACATGGCATCAGAGCCTTGGGGTTTGGGGCCTTTCTGGTGATGATGGAACTTGTGTCAACAGAAGCAACTGAGGAGGTTATAGTCCCCAGCCTCCAAGGTGAATACGTCATTTGTTCAGTCAACAGTCAGGACCCAATAATAGGCTCAACCATGTGAAACTGCAGAGTTGTGACCTTTAATACTTACGGGAAACTCCCTTGGCTCAACCTTGTGTTTTTCTATTCACTCTCATCCTGAGAGTAACCAGCAGGACCCCTAGGGCAGCTTAGAGTGGGCAGGGCACCCCCAGGATAGGAGCATTCTGGGGAACTCGGACAACAGGTCCATTCTGTTTCATCCAGTGGACTTCTGGCTGTTACAGTTGTTGGGGCCATGTGGCCTGGTGACCAGGGCAGCTCTCAAGACAGCCTCCTGCCGCAGCTCTGGAGATGTGACTATCCCCAGAAGGCCATGGGGTGGACAGAGAAGGGAAGAGATGGGGCTTGGACACCATAGAGAGTCAGGCAGGAGTGACCATGGAGAAACCCTGGGGTCCATGTTGGGGCCCATGTAATATTTTGGAAATATGCTCCACCTGGCCATGAGTTCTGAGAGCTCAGAAATTCTATTGTCTCTTAGGTGTTGGCTGATTACCACCAGATGGCCTGGTGGGGAATGACTCTTATTCTGAATAAAAAAAGACTAGGGCCAGAGCAAGTCTATACCCACCCCGAGGGCTAGTGAGATGTGCTGGTGTGGGGTACCTGAGGGCTTGAATAAGTGCTGCAAAGAGTGTCTCTAGAATTAAGGGAAATATCTGCTATCAGCCCTATATACATAATAGATGTCTTTTGCCATTACCCCCACCTTTGGATGGTTACTTAAGATGATGGAACAATAAACTGTGGCCTTCAGTATCAACTGTTTGCCCTCCTGTTATGACCAGATGCCTCTGTCTCATCTTTAACACCATTGGGTAGTTAGCCTATCCCGAGTCCACACTCCTCCACTCAGGGTCAGACCCGGGCTGTTCGGCTGGTTCCAATTGCAGCCCCAAAGACATCAGTCTGGAATAGATGGCCCCTGCAGCATGGGGCCAATGCAGACCGGACATGACAGGTCCATAAGAAGTAGGCTCTGTCCCACAGCCTAGGAGCCCCTGTGATGGCCATCCAGAGCCATCCACAGACCATGGTCCTATGACTAAGGATGAAGATGGGAGACATGGAATAGGTAGAATCAGGCCTTGTATGCCTATGTATGTGAGATGGAGACAGAGCTGAGACCAGGGACACCCATCCTACTCACTGGAGGAGGGGAAGCTTCTAGGAGATGTGTGCCCCTGTCCCAAACACAAGAGGGAAGAAATCACAAGGAGTGGGTTGGAGTCCTGTCCTAGCTCCTTGGAGGAAGAGGTCTGTGTTGTCTAGTTATTTTGTTGTGTAGGTATTTTTTTTGAACTGAAATGTTCTTTTCTAGAAGGAGGGGGAGGACAGAGGAGGGAGGAGAGTAGGAGAGGAGGAGAAGGAAGGAGAGAGGGGGAGGAGGGAGAGGGAAAGGAGGGAGAAGAGAGGAAGAAGAGACAGGCTCACATACGACAGGAAGTAGAGAACACGACTCAGGGAGCCTGTGAAAGCCATGAGGAGATTTATAAGCTCCTTCCTGACCTACAAGCCTCTCCCTGACCATAAGGAGGCAGTAAGCAATAGCTGAGGAAAGGAAACTCTTCTGTGGAGTTGCCTGCAAGTTGTACGGGGAGCTCCCAAGATGCAGCTATCAAGAGTTGTCGCTCGTGGGGGGTGGGGGTGGGGTGGTGGTGCTCTTCAGTGATGCGCTGCCCTCGGGTCATCTATGCTCTGCAAATTACCCCAATAAACTCACTGCTTCATCAAGCTAGACCTGGGTGCAGTGGCATCATTAGTACCATGTCTGGAGTGAGTAGATGTTTTTTCACATATTCCAGGAAGACATATAACACCCATCACCAACAATCTCCTCCAACCATTCTCAGGAAACTCCAGGTGAGATGGAGGGGCCAGTTGTGGTGAGGTAACAGGGTAGAATAAGAGGGGCATGTGACCTTGCCTTGATAGAACCTAGAGATGCTGAAGCTAAGAGCCTGGTCCCGAGCTGGCAGTTCTGGGAGCCTGACGGGATCACCATGGGGTGTGGCCCCTCTGACAGTGGCAGAGACTCCAGCCAGGGGCATAGAACAGAAGTTGAGAAGTCAGTAGAGGACATGGGCACTTGGTGAACTAGGCCTAGGTCTTTGAGTGTGAACCACATGGCCCCTCTAGGTTTCCAGAGATAACATGTTTTTGAGAACAAGTGGTTCCAGGACCAGAGTCTGTGATCTTAGCTGTGGTTCTCTGCCTACAACCTGTTTGCATGGATGGAGGGGACACCAAGACACACTGTTACCTCAAGTCCATAACAAACTCAAGGCCTCAAGAGACACATAAACCACAGAGTTGAGGATTTGCAGAAGCACTCAGGCATGGGCCAGGCCAGCCTGTGTTTAATGTCATTGGGGAAGGGACCCAATCCGGAAAAGATGACATCTGACTGAGAATGGTGATTAATGTGTGGGATCCACCACTTTTCCCACAAAGAGGGGGCTCTGAGTCTGTCTATCATATATTATGGCAAGGAAAGGGCTGTTAAAGATCACCTCAGGGGGAACGGACATGGGGATGATTTCAAAAACTGTGGCCCCTGCAGCTTCTGTCCCTCTCTCATCAAGGGTCAGCACAGCCTTGTGCACAGCCTGTGGAGAGAGAAGCAAAGGCTTGTCAGAGGTGGTGTGACGGTCACTCCTGGCTGGAGCAAGAGCTCCTGTGGGCCTCATCCAGAGAGGATGTCACTAGGGAACGTGTTTCCCTCCACGTCCCCCTGGTCTTCCCCAAGTCCCCCTTGCATGGTGATTGCCTGAGGCCTCTCCTTGTCTTTTTGTCTTTGACAGTCTTGGTCCCACTCTCCTCCACTCTCCCTTCCTGATTCCATCTCTTATGGCCTTGGTGCAGGCCACGGCTTCACAAGGGCAGGATCTTCATGTCCTCTGCACAAGCGCCCCCTTTCCGGTGTGGAGCTGTGAACATACTGTCACAGGGGTTCTGAAGATGACCTTCAATGCCCAGATTCTTTGGAATGCCCTGTCCATTCTCAACTGCCTTTCATTTCTCTGAACCGGTGGCCTGTTTGGTTGAACTCAAAATTCAACGTTGGCCGTTCACTGGTTATTCTAAATGCCAGAGGTGGCCCCTGAACACTCTCTGAGGTCACCAGACCTAAGTCTCTGCATGAATATAAATAAACTGGAGACAAAGGCTTGGGGGAGCACCTCAGGAAAGGCCCCATAATTCCATCCACCCTCCCAGCTGACACCTGACCACACCCTGCCTGGGTGAATCCCGAGAGTCCTCAGAAAGAGCTCAGCCCAGATTCTCTCCCTCTTCGCCAGCCTTGTGCTGTGCTAACCCACACCTATGCTGCTCTACAGATTCATGGCCACGCTCAGGGAATCTCACCTTGCCAAGCTTCAGGGGAGCATCCTCTGTGATCCCAGAAAGGTCGGCCTTGTTGCTGAAGACCTGGGTGATGCCCAGCGCATTCAGGGCTGTCTTCAAGTCATAGGTTCCCGAGATGGACAGTTTGGGGAAGTGTAGATTGGCTGACCTGGTGGCAGGAATGAGTTAAAGTTACAGGAGTTTCATGGGACCTCTGGGTTCTGCTGAGACCCACCCTGTTGTGGGACTGTTTCTGGCCAGTTCTCCCACTGAACATGCCACTACCCACAGCGGGATGAGAAAGCGTTTTTTGATGTGCTTTTCTTTGGCACAGCCTCTGTCTTGCATAAGATAATGAGATCAATCACATTGGCTCCTGGAAAGCCCCTCAAGTGAGTGCCACCTTCTCTGAGAAGTCCTTCAGGCAGATTCAGGGTGTTCATGAGGAACCATGTCACACTATGCCCTCCTCTCAAGCCACGGATACCCCTTGGATCTGATTCTCAGGGGAGCTAGGGCCAGTGCAGCAGAGTGACATTTCCCCCACACTCCCAGGGCTGATGGCTCAGCTCTAGGTTTTCACAGGGCCAGAGGAGGTCCCAACAGGATCTTAGTGGCCCTTGGGATCTGTCACCTATTCTGGTCCCAGCCTTGTATGGCTCTCTGCATTTTTATGGCCAAAGCAGAGGCCAGGCTGGGCAGCAGGGAAGCCACCTCTAGCCACACCTAACCTCGTGCCTGCCAGAAGCTCACAGGGTTCCTTATCCTACAGGCAGCAGAGCCTGGGCTCAGAGCAGGTCCTCTGACCTGGGGAGAAGACCCTAGGACTGCTGGGACCTGGAGCCCCACTGAGGAGTGACAGACGAACAGAGCCTTCTGCAAACCTGCCCAGGGTTCTCTATTGCTGGCCCCTTGCTGTTTAGGGCTGTCCATGCAGACTATCCTGGGCTCTCCTATAAACTTCTCACCTCAATCTCTACCATCAGCTGTGGCCAGGGTTTGAGACCAGTCTTGGTTCTTAGTTCAGTCATGATGTATGCTAGCGCTGCTGACATTGCAGCCCTGGGCTGTGGGTTAGAAAATACTATGTCCTCTGGGGATGGGAGTCCCTCCAAAGCAGGGCCTGGGCTCTCTCACCAGGAGCTCTGTCCCTCCCCAGACTCTACCTGGCACTGTCTGAGATGAAGGTTTATTTTAGCTCAAGGTTATGCACTTAAACTGTGGCCCTGGGATAGAGTCCACCCTCTGGCAGCACTTTGTGACTTTTGGGTCAGGATTGGACACTCAGGGAAAGGTCTCTGTCTGGGGAGTCACCTTGTGTGTCTGTTCTCCAGGAACTTGGAAATGATTTCCTTGTTGAGAGTTTGCTCCAGATGCTGCATCTTGCCTTCATCAGGCAGGATGAAGATGGCAGTGGCGTTGCCCAAGTAATCCATCAGCAGCACCCAGCTGGACAGAGTGCTGCAATGGTGCACATCAAACATGCCCAGGCGCTTCATCATGGGCACCTTCACCGTGGTGCTCTGGTCCACGTGGAAGTCAGCTTCCTCAGTGTTCTCTGCCCTGAAGGGCTTCTTCCACTTGCCTGCAGTGTATGGGAAGTAGGAAGTAGGAAGAGGGCTCAGCCAGGGAAGTGGTGACCCAGGGCCTTGACTTTTCACAGGGGACCACTACTAGACTTCAAAATGCCCAGGGACTTTGATGAGGGTAACTTGGGACTAAAGGACTCACACTTTACAGATCACAGAAGCTCACAGCTACCATCCCCATTGTCTAGAAAGCATTTCACCTGTTAGATGTGTTACATGCTTACTGAAAGGTGACCTGGGGTTATAAGTGGAAATCTTGACAGCAATTCTATTTGCTAGCTTCTTATCAGGGTGGCATGCTCATTGGTAAGTGTGAGTTCAGTTGTCACTCAGGACACCTCAAGTCCCTTTCTACATCTATGGGTTCAGTGTAGATGGCCATTTCAAGTGTAAGAACACCATCAAGGTCATTGGAGTGGGTAGGGGTCTCGGGGACCCATCACCAATGCTGGCAGAGTAGGCAAGGCCCTCAGGGATCCACCATAATGGCCCTCAGAAGGAGCATGGAATCAGGAGCCCTAACCCTGCCTTATTATTGGATAGGAAGAGGTTGGGGAGGAGTTAACATCTGCCCTTGTCACAGAAGAGCCAGGACTTGAGCTATGCTGACCATGGCCTGATATTCTGCTCCATAAGACTCTGCTTAGAGGCAAAGGAGCCACGAAGGGCAGAGAAGCTCCTGACTTTGACTCCCAGACCCTCCTCAGATGTTTTCTCTGGGGTACAGGTGCTTAGCATAGAATCCTGACCTAACCACTTCCAGGCAGGAGGCTGTGGCTAGGGTCAAGGAGAGTTGATCAAGTGCTTACATCCAAACCGTCCCTGTGTATACTGTATTTACTAATTCTTTCATCACCTCACAGCAGTTGGCTAGCTTTGTCCCTGGCCATATGGACAGCCGTACCCCAAACATGTAAAATGGCTTGTCCAACATCAAGACAGCAGTAGCAAAATTTAAGCCCATGTTTCCAGAGTTCATACTGGTGTGCAGCAAAAGAGCTGCTCAAAATACGTTTCATGGAGCAGGGCTCTCTTCATACCACCAGATACACTTGGTTCTGAGGTTGGGGAAGAATCTCGTGTTCTGAGACTCCTTCGTCGGGGTCTTCAGTGAGCACGAGGACAGTCAGTCCTTCAAAGAGGTCAGTGGATTTGATGGTTGACAATTCCCAAACTTACTGATGATTTAAAATATGACAGAGTGTACCCACTGGAGAGTCAGGGATGTGATGGGACAGAGTGACACAGCCCAGAGTGAGAGCTCAGAAACCATGGATGAGTGTCTCCATGAGAATCAGCTGGAGCTGGTTATGTCATCTTACCTTTAAAGAAAATGTAATTCACCATGGCAAGAACTGTGTCTTTGTCAAGGTCCTTCACTAAGTCAACTATCTTTCCCTGGGTTCCCTTCTCCACAAAAGCATTGATCACTTTCTTGGCCTCTTCCGAGTCTGTGAAATTGAGGGAGAAGGCTTCTGAGTGGTAATTGTTCTTGGCCTCTTCCAGGAACGTCGCCACCAGCTTCAGATTGTCGTGGATGAACAGGCCATTGCCTGTGGTCAGCTGAAGCTCATTGTCTGGCTTGTTGAGGGTCTGGAGGACGTGATGGAAGCCCTTGTGGATCTCACCCTCTGCTATTTGTGTGAGGTTGAACTCCAGGCCTTCTAGAATCTGGGTGTGAGTGGCACCCTTGGTGCCCAGAGAAAGCATAGCGAAGGCTGTAGCAATGCTCACGGGGGAGAAGAAGATGTTGGTCGTATTGGACTCATGGACCAGCTCCCGGTACAGGCTTAAGGCGAAGTCTGCCAGATTTGAAGCGATCTTACAGCAGGCTTGGTGCTCCTGATCCTGCTGGGAGGCATCTGTCTCCTGGGCATCCTCAGCCAGGAAGCTGGGGACCAGGCAGCACAGGCCTACCAGCAGCAAGATCCCCCTTGAGATGGAGGACATCATTCTTCTGCAAGACACAGAAATGCATGTTGCAAGGAATCGAGGCTGTGGTGACTCCCATCAGCTAACATTTGGCACAATACAAAAGCAACCACAGCCTATTAACGGCTGCTGCATGCCCAGCCTATATCAAGCACTATTTCAAATTGCTATAATTGACAAGAGACTGTTAAAAAGAAAACTAGAGGCATTTCTGTAGATAAAGCACTTGTTATGTAAGGGTGAGAATAGGAGTTTGGAAAATGTGGGCAGAGTAGCCATCTGTAATCCAAGCATGGGGGTGGGGGACAGGGCTGGGCAGAGATGGGATCCTTGAGGCTAGCTGGCCGGCTTGTTAACCAGAAGCTCTGAGCTCTTGGATCACTGAGAGCTCAATAAAGTGGAGAGTGGTTGAGGAAACCACCCAACATCAATGTGAGCCCCCCGTATGCACATGCGCACAGCACACTTCCGCACACAGGCTCACACCTCACAGGCATGTGTGAAAACCAAGTGAGGGAGCGAGAGCAGAGGATCAGACTTTTTTCCATCTGCCAGTGCTGTCCTGAGTCCTCCCATGTGTGAACTCCCAGGGTCCTGTAGGGAGATGATCACTCCCCTGGTAAGGGACATGTTGACACACATTCAAAGTCAACAAACAGCAAATAACACAGCAGGTCTAAGTCACACACAAGGAGTGGTCTGGTGCCTGACCAGTACTCTCATCAGTTCAAGTTCCACCAGCAATGACCTCGAACCACAAGCCCCAGCCCCATTTTACAAAGAGGAAACCAAGGCCTGGGGTGAGAAATGGACTTGTCAGTAATGACAAGGGGAGCAGGGGGTGATCTGGACTAACAGTCGCTTGAAGGTGGGGAAATCATGAGCTCCAGAATCCGGGTGCAGCTGTCACCTCTGTTCCCCAGAGAGACCATGTTGAAGGTGTGGTGATTGTCACAGGAGAAGAGATGAATGGGCACACGGGGAAGTCTAAGGCTGTGAAGAAACCCAAGCGGGCTGGAGAGATGGCTCAGCAGGAAAGAGCCCTTGGTGCTCTAGCAGAGGACCTGGGTTCGAGTCCTAGGACCTATATGGCAGATTACAACGTCCCTGTAGCCAGTTTCAGGGTGTCTGGTGCCTTCTTCCGGCCTCCTCAGTCACTGGACACGCATACAGTGTACTTACATACATGCAGGCAGAACACTTCTACATGTAAGATAAAAATCAGTCTATAGAGGAGAAGGAACACACAGACTGTCCCTACTCAGTGCCCACAAGGAACCTCAGTCCCTGGTGGCTTTCCCTGAAAGAGGGACTGTCACCATTCTACCCTGTGATTCCAGCCCCAGGCTGTGTTGGCTCCCCCTCTGGCAGCCCATCTGCCATCTTGACACCACTCCTGTCTCAGTTCTGGAAGAGCAGAAGTTACTGCCTCTGCTTTAATTCTGGGAGAGGATGTGTGTGATGGGTTCAAATACCCATCCCTGACAGCCCTGTGTTCTAATCCAGGCTCTGTCAATCACAGCTGTGTGAGCCAGGACAAGTCATTGAATCTTTTTGATCCTTGTTTTGCCTTGGGTACAAAGAGGGGCTGGGAGAACCTAGGGCACTAAGCGTCAGCACCAGACCTTCCAAGGAAGAACTCTCAAAGGGCAGTCTTGGGGACAGGAGGGTGGCAGATGTTGCAGACTCAAATGCTAGAGAAACAGGTATGGGGAGGGGTGTGTTGCATGGCTGAAGTGAGGCAAGAGGGAGAGGCAAGGCCTGGGTTGCACCAGAGAGGGCAGACTCTGCCTGGAGATGGTCAAAGTTGAGGTCACATCTGCAGTCCCAGCCTCTCCCGTTCCATGGAATTCCCCCTACTCTGACCTGCTGCCAGCCTCTAGTCTACAATCCCATGTTCTCTTTACAGACAGGGAAACTGAGACTGCAGCTACAAAGAATGTTCATAGTTTGCTATTGGTTCAAGAATGAAAACACCTTTAAAAAAATGTTTTGAGATAATCTCATGTGTCCCAGGCTAGCCTTAAACCGACTATGTAGCTGAGGATGAACCTGAACACCTGATTCTCTTACTTCTACCTCTTGAGTCGTGGGATGACAGGTGTGCACTACCATGACTTCTTTATGTAGCTCTGGCTTCATGCGTGCTAGGTGAACATTCTATAACCCCTAGACCCATAGTTAAAATCATCATCTTAGTATAATAAAAGACACCCTCAAATCTGCAAACCAGGGTAAATTTGAAGACAGGAAACACTGAGTTTTGCCTGCCCTCGGCCTGTGAAAAGGGTCTTTGAGACTGTATGACAAAATGAAGCACAGATGTCTCTCTGCCCACCATGGTGCCTTCTGTTCTTCAGTGTAAACAGGCTGGATAGCTGACCACATACAGTGTAGTACATGTCAATGTTTTCTTAAGTCCATGTGTTAGCACTGAGATGGTGCTGAGTCTAGTTCTGTATATTTCCACCTCTCAGGACTCCGTTACTTCCTGTTTGGATTGTGGTGAACGCTGTGGAAATTTCCCACCTTCATTAAGAGGCTGTCCCTTCACAGGGTAGAGACAAAACACACAAGTGACCTCAGGACAGAGGTTGTGGCTTCAAGTCCTGGCATGGCCATGCACTGGGCATTCAGCAGTATTTGGAAGAGCACAAACCAGTCAGGCAACCTCAGGGGTATGGAGTGGGTCTGGGGAGAGCTAAGAAGATTGTACTACAAAAAATAAAAAAAAACCCAGAGACTGATATTCGGGTTAAAGCTTCAAGCTGAAGGGCAGAAAAGCAAAGCAGCTGGTCACTATCTCATTTCTACCTCAACTCAGACCAAAGGGGCAACCCTCAAACTGCTCTAGACTTCACTGCTCCTCAGATTCACTCAGACTGCTACGCTCTCCTCAATGAGGCTAAAGATACCTGAGACGTCAATGTCTTCCTATCCTCAGCATAGCTGGAGAATGAATGCCAGCTCTGAGACCCTGTTCCTGTTTTATATACCTCCCTAATTCGGAGATTAAAGGTGTGTGATCACAGAGGGTATGCCCTGTGTGCAGATGCTGCAATCTGTATGTCAGAGTACATGTCTATGCAGGTGCTGGCACGTGTGTGCACACATATGTAGAGGCCAAAGGTCCTCTGCAAGTGTGGCTCCTCGGGTGTCATTCCACTTTTCTTATGAAACAGTGTCTCATTGGCCTGGAGAGTGACAATTCAGCTAGGCTGGCTGGGTAGCAAGCCAGGGGGTCTGCCTGTGTCCATCTCCCCAGTGCTGGGATTGCAAGAGCCTGCCTCATACCTGGCTTTGTTACTTAGGTTCTAGGCATCAAACTCAGGTCCCCACGCTTGTGTGGCAAGTATTGTACACACTCGGCCATTTCCTCATCCCAGACATTGGACTCTAGTTCCAAGGGTATCGGACTAACAGGGGATTAAAAGGGGATGCTCTCCTATTTGGGTGGCTACTGAGCTTTAAAGAGGCAAGGCTAGCACAGGAGAGGAGAGAGGCCCTGCTAGGGTGCGCAGCCTCTCCCATCTTCCCCATGTCCCATCACCCCTCTCATTTTCCTCCTTTGATGGTGAAGGGGCTGAAGCCTGGGGAGAACCTGCCACCGACTGACCCAGCAATGAGCCCCGGCTTCACACCTGGGATTGTCAGGACTGTATCAAATAGTTGAGAAGTAACTTAAGTGGGAGGAGCTTATTCTGGTCACAGTTTGAAGGGGTCTGGTGGTCAAGGTGGGAAGTCATGCTGGTGGCAGCAGCCTAAAGTGGCTGCTGGCTCACATCTCTGAGGGTGAGGAAACAGCAGAGGAAAGCCAGAGCTCAGCTCACTTTCTCCTTTCTACTCCATCTGGGACCCCCACCCATAGGATGGGCCACCCACACTTGGAGCAGATTGCATCTCATTTAATCTCTTTGAGAAAGGCCTTTGGAGCTTCACTACAGCCCCAGGCAATCAAGATGACAATGGATATTAACTGTCACAGGCCTGACCCTGATCTCACATGTCCAGTCAGGTGCCTTTTGCATCTCAGCCTATTCCTTCAAGCCTCAGGGTCCTGAGCCCTGCTTTCACCTTGACCTGTAAGAAGTAACCCCCTATGACCTCCCAGGTTAACTGGAGAGGAGGAAGAAGCTTAAGATCTTGTGGTGTAGGGTCACAGAAGCCAAAAAGCTGGAGGTCACTCAGGGTGCCATTCTGATGTCAGAGGCTTCTACACCATTTCCAGCTAGGAGCAGGAATGAATGATCCAGAGAATCAACTGTGGCAGGCCACAACCTGTGGGAGCCCAGCTCCACCACTTACTGCCAGTGGCCTTAGGCAAGTGACCTCATCTCTTTAAGCCTCAGTTCCTGTTTTTCACTGAGGAGAGAGGAGTCCTTTGAAGAAAGGGGTGTGGCAGTACAAAGTGGACTCAGAGAATGCAGACAGACTCTGGAGTCTTCCAGGACACTCCACCTGCACTCCGGACCTTGTCCTGAGATCTGCTTAGCAGCCAGAGACCCCCATGACCAGAGAAGGGCTCCTGCTAGGCAGGCAGTGCCTCCTCCCAAGTCAGGTGCATGTCCATCACCTCCACTCAGACTGCCTGTTAGCAACCATGCACTATGCAAACGGGAATGGGAACTCCAGTCCCGATGGCTACGCTCACTAAACATGTCTTATGCCTACCTCATCTAACCTCCCCTCAAAGCTTAGTATTAGTTCCACTTTATGGGGAGAAAAACTGAGGTCCAAACAGCCTCATCCACACCCTAAAGTCCACAGAAGGAGCTGCGAGAAGAGCTGGTTTAGTTCTAGGACTGAGCCCTTCTCTATGTACAGAATCAAAGCCAGGAGATTTGAAATAGATGTCAGAGGAGGCTTGGCTAAGGGACAAAAGTCATTGGTGATAAAATGACAGGTCTGAGGCCAGACTGCTACTCTGTGTGACCTCATACCAGTTGATTCGCCTCTGGGAGCTTCAGTTCCCGGAGGATGATAAAGAAATTGGTTCACAGAACCCTGTGCAGAGACATGTA